CTCTTACTAGTGCCTCATTGACAGGTGTCCCAGATGCTCCACACTGAAGCAAGACCTGCTCCCCACTCATATTAAAGTTTCTAAGGTGCTTGCCATGACTAAACTTCGGCTGGATTTTTCTACTACTGTTAGTGAATGCGTGTCTCCATATCCTACTTATCCATATAACAAATACTTGCTTTGAAAAATGTCCAGCACATAAAAGTATTGTTAACAGAAAACTTCTCCTGTAATCCTAGCTACACAGGAGGCTGAGATCTGAGGATTGTAGTTCAAAGCCAGCTCACGCAGGAAAACCTGAGATGTGAGACTCTTATCTCCAGTTAACCACTAGAAAACTGGAAGTGGTACTGTCTCCCAAAGTAGTGGAGCACTAGCCTTGAGCAAAAGAGCTCAGGGACAGTGCCCAGGCCCTGAGTTCAAGCCCCATGACTGACCAAAAAAAAATTCACTCGTATGTCCATTTGATGTTAGAAATGACAAATTATAGGTCGAATTAAAGTCTCCTGTTAACAGGAAAGTTCTGTTTCTCCCCAGAGGTAATAGTTACTCTTGTTAATAGTCATTCTTATACATGTTGTATGCTTCAATTATATGGAGATATACGTATAGATTTTAATTATTTACACTGGATAGATTAGTAAACGTTGCACACTGTAGTTTTGGCTTTTTTTCTCAATGCTGGCACTTTACCACTGTACCACAACTCATTTCCTGCTTTTTGTTGGGAAATTGGATGTAAGAGTTTCATGGACTTTCTTGCCCTGACTGGCTTTGAACAGTGATCCTAAGATCTCAGCCTCCTGAGTAGCAAGGATTATAGGCATGAGCCATTGGCACCCAGCTTGGTTTCAGCATTTTAAAATACTTTTCAGAAATGATGTCTCCTTCTGATTATTGTGCAGATCCTGGGGCTTGAACTCAGGGCCTGGACACTGTCACTGAACTTTTTTGCTAGCGCTTTACTGCTTAACCACAGCTCCATTACTGGCTTTTTGGTGGTTAATTGGAAAGAGCTTAGCAGACTTTCCTGCCTAGGCTGGGTTTTAATCCTCATCCTCAGATCTCAGCCTCCTGAGTAGCTAGGACTACAGGTGTGAACTACCAGCACCTGGCTGACTTGTTATTTCTGCAGTGCGTTCTTTTCTCTTGGATTCAGCCATGTTGATCCTCATGGCCCTCTTTGTATACCAAGGTGCCCTCCTACTGGTGGGCATTTCAGTTGTTGCCAGAGTTTTTCTTTGACCTTTATAGAGCAGGCTTCCCCAGTGAGACCAGGTTCTATCTCCTTGAGAAAGCAAGATTTTTAAGTGCTAACATTTTAGTTTAACCCTTCTTGTGTTGGTCTCTGTGAATCTGAGTTCATTGCTGACTCTATCTTGGCGTCAGTTTTCTTAGCTCCAAAGGCAAGGCTTGACTGAAGGACCTCTGAAGTCGTGCTTCCGGTCTATAATTCTCTGACTCTCTTTCATACTTCCTCTCCAGCCTTCCAGTAATAAAGAAAAGACAGCAATGGTGAGCAAACCATTAGCATAAGAATCAATTCTCAAAAACAAAAAGATCCGTTACAATGAATGTATGTAATTGTGGACTTCAATTACAAATGAAAATGGAGATAATCCCCCCTTGGTGATAATAGATTCAGGAATTTGGCCTTTGGCCACCAGCATGTTATCTTCCCATGGGTCTACCCAACACTTGAAGGAACAGTCAGAGGCTTTGGTGGAAAGGCAGTGTCACTGTTAGACACAGGAAGACAATCTTTTCTCAATAGTGTTGCTGTTGTGGTCTGGACCTGCTATCTGTCAGAGGACGAAACTGATCCTCCCAGAAGGGCAGAGACAAGGGAGGTGCAGAGAATTGAGCCAGAGCCATTACACAGCCACTCCTAAACCCCAAGTCACCACTGGGTTTCTTGGGTCAAGAAATTACCTTAAACTAGTTTGCTTTGAGGTTTCTGTTCTTAGCTGTTGAAAGTACCCTAATTGATGTTATTCTCAAGTAATTATTCTTTTCACCCCGGAATACATGCAAGAGTAAATGTCCATCTATTGCATATTCCTACGAATATAATTCTCAAGCTAATTATGCCCGTATCTCCATTTTCTTCTAGGAATAAGATTTCTCATCAACGTAACTATTGCCACTTGAGCCCATTAAGAAAACCGAATTTTGTTGTTTTGTAGAATTGCTCCACTTTGTAGTAACCTTTTCCTAAACATCTAAGAGTACTTGACTTTGAATTTAGAGTGTGCTGTGTACATGCTTCCGTGTCCAAGAGGATGGACCTTGGCTGGTCTGGAAGCGGCAAGTTCACAGAGCTCACAGGCTTACATTAATGTGCAGAGCCAGACCTTGTAGTCCTAGGCACAGCTGATTGGGATTGAGGAAAAGGGAGAGAGCTAGCTATGTAAGGGGAGGTAAAGAAGGCTTCAACGTGATCTGGTCACTTGAAAGAGAAGGGATGTGTGGAGTCAACTGAGACACAGAGCTGAAGTTGTAGAGGAGCTGAGGGTACAGTGTCTAGGAAAGGTTGAAATCGCCAGGCTAGAGAAATTGGATATTCCTCCTCCTCTTTCTCCTCCCCTTCTCCTTCTCCCTCTCCTCTCTCTTCCTTCCCCACTTCTTTTTCTTCTTTCTGCTGATACTGGGGCTTGCACTTAAGTCCCCAAGTACGCTCAGCTTTTTCACTCAAGGCGGGTGCTCTACCACTTGAACCACACCCCCACTTCAAGCTTTTTTCTTGTGCCAGTCCTAGGGCTTGAACTCAGGGCCTGGGCTCTGTCCCTGAGCCTCATGCTCAACTTTACCACTTGAGCTGCTGGCTTTTGAGGTAATGAATTGGAGCTAAGAGTCTGACAGACATTGCTACCATGGCTGGCTTTAAACTGTGATCCTCAGAGCTCAGCTTCCTGTGTAGCTAGGTTTACAGGCATGAGCCACCAGTGCCTGGCAGTTCTAGCTTTTTGATGGTTAGAGTCTTGTGGACTTGGTCTGACCCAGGCTGGTTTCAAACTGAGTTCCTCACATCTGAGCTTCCTGAGTAGCTAGGATTACAGGTGTGAGCCACCAGTGCTCAGCTTCGTCTTCTTAAACAGTGCACTGTTTGCAACAGGAATTGTTGAAGTTATTCTTACAGAGCTACATGGGAGAAAGGTTGGCAGTGTCCTAGGAAGGAACCACAGACATAATAATAGAATCAGAATACCCGATCTCTTCGATTTCTATGAAATTACTATTCCTAAATCTTGTTCACACATAGTATGTATGTTTTTTGTTTTTGTTTTTGTTGGTTATGGGGTTTGAACTCAGGGCCTGGGTGCTGTCCCTGAGCTCTTTTTCTCAAGGCTGGTACTTCTGGTTTTCTAGTAGTTAATTGGAGATAAGAGTCTCATGGCCTTTCCTGCCTGGGCTGGCTTCGAACCTCGATCCTCAGATGTCAGCTTCCTGAGTAGCTGGGACTACAAGTTTGAGACACCACCACCCGGCACAATATATAGCATATCTACTTAGATCCTCTCAGCCTCTTTAATGGTGGAAGATACAGCAGTTGATAGTGATTAAGCAACCTGCCTGCAAGTTGAGTGATACATTATGGCTCTTGTCTTCCTAGTTCAGTGCTGTTCAATAATATTAATAAGATATTAATATCCTTTTAGCGAACGGTGCCTGCTTGCATTTCCCCCCTGTGTATCTACAGTATTTGCCTTATCCTCTTCACAACAGCATAAACAAAAGCCTAAGAATTTTGTTCACATCTTTAAAACCACTGAACACTCCTGAATAGTGAAAAGACGCTCAAGTGTCACCATCTTGTAGAAGTTCCACAGATAACAGAAAGGTAATACCTCTCACCAGAACAAGAAAACCCAAAGAACAAAAGACTAGGTTCAGTAGCAAGTTTCTGCAGCGTTTTGAATGAGAGTCAGGCTTAGGAAAGCTCAAAACTGCTTTGTTGAAGGCAGGTTGGCAGGTGAAGTCTCAGAAATCACTGGAGTTACTGTGCCAATAAAGCCAGAGTAGGAAGAGAGGTCATTTCAGCAGTTTTGTTTTGTTTTTGGTGCTCTAACTAGGGCTTGAACTTAGGGTCTGGGTGTTATCCCTTAGCTTTTTTGCTTAAGGGTAGTACTTTCCTACTTGAGCCACAGCTCCATTTCCTGCTTTGTGATTGTTAAGTAGAGATAAGAATCGAACAGAGATTTCCTGCTCAGGCTGGCTTTGAACTGTGATTCTCAGATCTCAGCCTTCTGAGTAGCTAGGATTATAGGCCTGAAGTGTAGCCACCTGGCTGAATAATTGCAAGCGATAGATCCTGCCCTTGACCAGCTAAGTCAGGTACTCAGAATTTGGGGGAGGAGGTAGACCTAGTCATGAGATAGTTTTTGTTTTGTTTTTTAAACATCTTTAATTCTGAAGTATAGCCACGGCTAAAAGCCATTCTAACATTTTGGTTCCTGGCAGCAACTGCAGGAATTAATATACATTTATTAAAATGTATATCAAAGACTCGCTACGTGTATAAACCACAGGCTTTTCCTCCCCTGCAATCCCGCAGACACGTTCTGAGAAAACAAATGGAAAAAGATGGAGGAAGATGTTTGGCAAAAGGCCTGTGGCCTTTGGATGGGGGGGGCGGTGGCTGGGGAGTATTGTTCATATGTATTTCAGGAAGTAGCAAATATGGTGTGCTCTGGAGCCTTCCAAATTATGTAACTTTGCAGGATGGGGGGGGGGGTCCATTTGTGCCAGCATAATGCGGCCTGAAATACATGGCATTTACCGTGTGGGAATTCTTCGCCCGGTCATTAGCATTCCTTTCTTGGGTCTGCTTGCAGAGGAAGTGTACCATTCACACCCTCCTTAGCCTCACATTTTCCAGTGCGTTGGAGAGCTTGTTTTCAATAGCAAGCTTTGTTCTCTTCCTACTAAGACTTGGATTCAATTTGAAGAAACTTAGCCTATCTCTCCCCCCCCCTTTTCTTTTCTTTTCTTTCTGGCAGGAATTGACTTTAAAATCCGAACGATAGAACTCGATGGAAAGAAAATCAAGCTTCAGATCTGGTAAGTAAAATAAAACACACAGAGCTGCTCCTTGAGTTGAGAATAGAGAGTGGGAATTTGAATGTGAACCTGTGGTAAGGTTAGAGACATTCTGTGAGAGCTAAAGCATCTCTTCTTTCTCAGAACTTAGGAGAAATGGTAAGTCTGAGCATCCTTCAACGGTATCTCTCACGAATGAGCAGGTGGCGAACGGTCAATAAGCCTTAGAGCCAGAAGAGATCTGGCAACCCATTCAGACCCATCCATAGCTCTTAATTTTACATAGGAAGAAACATCTTCATTGGTACTTGTTGCAACTCATGAGATCATTAACTTATGGAGAGAAAAGGTTTGGTAGACTCATAGTTTTGGGTCATCCAGTCCAAGATTAGGTGGCCCTGTTGGTATAGGCCTGTGAATGGTAATGCAAGGAGCATGAGGCTGAGAAAACTGCTCATCTCCTTAGTCAGGAAGCAGGAGAGAGGTAGGAAGGGGTCGGGGGAAGGGGCCAGGGTACCACAAGGGTACCACAGTCCCCTGCAAGAGCATGCTCCCAGGGCCTCTACTGGGCCCTCCTTTTTAAAAGTTTCTACCACTTTCCAGCAATGCCATCCTAGGATCTCCTAAGCAGATCTCTGGTGCTCTCATTCTGTTGTTTTTTTTTTTTTTTCCCTTGTAGATTAATTCTATTGAAAACCTTGGACTTCCCTTCTAGCTCTGATATTGAGTAATTTATTTGCATATGTCTTCTCATTAAGTAAAAGACTGAGGACTATTGAACTGGGCAATAAAAGAAAGAAAGAAAGAAAAAAAGAAAAGTCAGGCCTTGTCTTAATTGGAGCTACTCTGTATTCAAAAACACAAGTTTTATTTTTATTTTTTTCTTAGCACAACACTTTTTTGGTGCCAGTCCTGGATCTTGAACTCAGGGCCTGGGTGCTGTCCCTTAGCTTTTTTGCTCAAGGCTGGTGATCTGCCACTTGAGCCATAGATCTACTTCAGGCTTTTTGGTCATTAATTGAAGATAAGAGTCTCACGGACTTTCCTGCCTCGGCTGAGCTCAAACTTTGGTCCTCAGATTTCAGCCTCCCAAATAGCTAAGGTTATAATCCTCCTGTTCTTCCTTTGTGAGGAGGGAAATAGAACTTAAGAGTAGTTAAGTTCCTTGAGGGAATGTGCTTGGGCTGAGACCACCACCCAGCTTTCCTAGAACTTCGAGTCAGCTTCCTTCCTGTGTTAGCCTAATCTAATGTTCCCAGTGGTTTCATTAGAAAACATGTGAGGATTCCTGCAGGCTGCCCTCTTCACCTCCGGGCATTTGGTAAGAGATTGGAAATGAAAATGATGGTTAAGGGGAAAGCAAGGAGGATATCTGGCTGTGCCACACAGTCCTGGCCATAGCATTAACATGTAGTTTTGGAGCCTGGTGCTGACCAGCTTTAGGACGAACATGGCAGATGCAATCGGTCCAGGATCTATGTGTAGGAAGCTTGTTCCCCAGGGTAGCATTGGGAGATGTTATGGAATCTTTAAGAGGTGGAGCCTAGTGGGAGGACCTTAGGTCATGGGGGAGAGCTATCCTAGGAAGGGATCACTGGTCTCCTGCAGTGAGTTCTCACAAGAATGAGTTCTTACAAAATCTTGAGCCTGACCCCTGGGTCACTCTTTGGCTTCCTGTCTTCAATGTGAGCCCTTCCGCTCGCACCCATTCCCACCACTGCCAGCCGCCATGATGTGATGCAGCCAGAGGGTTCTCACTAGAACTGAACTGATGCCAGTGCCATGCCCTTGAGCCTCTAGAACTGTGAGCTGAAAAAGCCTGTTTTTCTTTATAAAGTAGCCTGCCTCCAATGTTTCATCATCATACTGTCCAACGGACTAATGCAGTATCCCAAACACCATGGCCCTATCATTACTCTGCGAAGTAAAATAGCCTCTGTTTACTTCTCACAACCTTCATATAGCATCCAAAGGTTTCTTCTTCATCCTCACTGCAAAGCTGGGTTCTAAATGAGCAATGTATTTGAATCAAGAAAACACGATTAACCTGCTTGGAGGTGTTTTGGCTTCTGCTTTTCCCATGATTAGTTTGCTAAGCACAAAACAAGAACCGCCAATATCTTAACTGCTGATCAGTGCGAAGGACAAGATAAGGCTTTGGGCCTTGTGTTGAAAAGCTAAGATCTGGGGTGCTCAAGTGTCTTTTAAGGCTATGAACTGGTCAGGGACAGAGCTGGGACCACAGCTCTCCCGTGCCTGTTTTCTGCTTTGCAGAATGAGGATGGTAGGTAGTAATATGATCACCTGTCACTTAGCTGTGGTAGACACAGTGTGAAAGGGTTTTGTGGGGACAGCATTGTTAAGGTGTTGATTGCTTTTAATCAACTCTGTTTCCCTTAGGTCCTCCCCTGTAATGGTTTAGTATATATTAGATTTCTAACCAATTTCCACAAATGCCTCTTTCTCCTCGGCAATTAAATCGCACAATTTAGTTTGTCTTAGTAGCATAGCGTGTAAATTAGTTCTGGCTGACACTAGTAAACTTGAATATACTGATTTCCCCAAGTATCAAGAAAATTTGTCTTCCTTTGTAGGATTGCTGCTATAAATATAATTAGAAACTTTTGTATTTTGAGGAGTGCAGAAAGAGAAAAAGATAACACATATATGTAAATGAGAGAGAAAGAAAGAAAGAGAGAGAGAGAAAGGGAGAGAGAGAGAGAAAGGAAGGAAGGAAGGAAGGATTTTCTAAGCCATACCCCCAGAATATATTTTAATGGTACACTACCAACTACAAAGAGGCATGAATATATGAAAAAATGGTTTAATTTTGAGGTATTCCTATTTAAAAGTCTTTGGAATCATGGACAGTGGTAGACTGACCCCCAGGCCCTCATGTAATGGGGGAGAGAAGGGCTGGCTTTGCTGGTTGAAAGCATTGTTGAGGAGATGGATTCCTCCACTGTGTTCTGCTGGCTACAATGAGCACAGCAAGTCTGGCTCCGTTGTGTGCTTGGTACAGTAATCCCACAGTCAAGAAGGCAAAATGACTTCTTTAATCATAAAGCACTTAGAGAAAGGACTATGTCTACCTCTGAGAGTACCTCCCACAAGCCACCTCCTCGCAGGACTTGTGTTGCTTTTTGTCATCAAGGTCCAAGTTTGTCACCAAGCGATTGTGAGCATCTGACAGGCTCCTGTGGCCACCACCGCCTCCAGCTCAGGAGGAACAATGAGCATCCTCTGAGTCTCCTCTAAATTCCCCTGCTCTGCTGTGCCAGGAGCAGACTAGAATTTTCTCTCCTACAGCTTGGACCTCTCCTTACTGATGCCGGGGATGATTTTCAAATTGTTCTCTCCTTTGTTTCAAATTTTAGGGACACAGCAGGTCAGGAAAGATTCCGAACAATCACGACGGCATACTACAGAGGAGCCATGGTGAGTGTGGGTTTTGGAACTCTCCAGGTGGAAGTCAAACATGAATACTTATTAACCAGATCATAGGACCGAGCTGGAGTCTTGTATAGTGGGGGGGAAATGCAAGTTTTCAGTGTGAGAACAAGAGCTTTTTAAAGGGCTCTTGGGTTATGTTTTATTTTTAGAAGCTGTGTCTTGCCATTGGTCTTGCCTGTAAATAAGCAGGCAATTAACTTTTTTAGAATTTAAATTTAAGCTTTATTGTATAGGTGATGTACAGTGGGGTTACAGTTACATAAGTAAGGTAATGAGTACATTTCTCTCTCTCTCCTTCCTTCCTTCCTTCCTTCCTTCCTTTCTTTTTTTCTTTCTTTCTTTTTTTTTTTTTTTTGCCAGTCTTGGGGCTTGAACTCAGAGCTTAGGCACTGTCCCTGAGCTTTTGTTCAAGACTAGCACTCTACCACTTGACCCACTGTACCACTTCTGACTTTTTCTGTTTATGTGGTACTGAGGAATGGAACCCAGGGCTTCACGCATGCTAGGCAAGTGCTCTACCACCAAGCCACCTTCCCAGCCTGAGTACATTTATTTTTGAACAGTGTTACTCTCTTCCTCATTTTCTCCCACTTTTCCCCCCAGCAATTAACTTTTAGATGTTCTAGAATTCTCACTCATCTTTTTCTTTTTTTGTGCCATGGTTGAGGCTTGAACTCAGGGCCTCCCAATCTCACTTCATCTTACCATTTGAGCTACATCTCTACTTTCAACTTTTTTTTGTTGTTGTCGTTGTTGTTTTTGGTCAGTCATCAGGCTTGAACTCAGGGCCTGGACTCCGTCCCTGAGCTCACGGCTAACACTCTACCACTTTGTGGCTCAAGTGGTAGAATGCTAGCCTTGAGCTGAAGAGCTCAGGGACAGAGCCCAGGCCTAGAGTTCAAGCCCCATGGCAGACAAAAAAAAAAAACAACCCACAAAAACAAAACAAAAAAAGGCTGTTGAGATGTGTTATTTTATTTAGACTGAGGACTATCTGTCTTTTCATATATCTACTGCCTTATCTTTCCTCAGCTTACTTGTTGAATAGATGAACAGTTGTGTAGACTTTGCACATAGTACCAAAATGAGGGCTTAGGGTGTAACTTACGAAATAGCGAACACGCAGGTGTTAGTTGAAACATTTGGAAGATGAACCTTTTAGATATATCAGATCTGAGGTTTTGAAAACGTGGCAATACCACCTTTAAACCCAACACCAAATGGATTATATTTCAGTTTCTGTGATTTTAGATAAATGGTGACATTTTGATCAGCATATATAAATATATATAATTGTGAGTGTCTATGTGTGTGTCTGTGTGTGTGTGTGAGAGAGGGAGAGAGAGAGCATGCAGTGTAGCCTCAATCTCAGTGAAGGTATACTAGGTAGGCATGGTGGTACACACCTATAATCTCAGTTTTCAGGAGGCTGACCCAGGAATGATAATGAGTTTGATACCAGTCTGGGCTACATAGCAAGTTCCTGTCTCCAAAAGAAAAGGGAGGGAATGAAAGGGAAAGAAGAAGAAAAATAAGGGAAAGGGAGAGAGGATGAAAGGGAAAGGAGGAAGGAAGGAGGAAGAAATGTAGAAATCTTGGTAGAGGAGTACGAACTTAGACAGTTTCTGCTTGGAGAGAAATGCGCAGTTTAAGTGATACCTCCTCCCCTCAGTGTTCCTTACATGAAGTCCATTGTTTCCTCTTGTAGGGAATTATGCTGGTGTACGACATCACAAATGAGAAGTCCTTTGACAATATTAAGAATTGGATCAGAAACATTGAAGAGGTATGTATTCAAGGAGAGAGTTTGGAGGAGTGGCCATGAAAGGAAAGAGTTGGCTGGATCTCTCTTGCTGTTGGTTTGGACTGTGGACACTGGGGAATTTTAAACTTGGGCCAGGTATTGGAAATAATTTGATCCGAGTCCCCATTTTATCTATGAGGAGGCTCATGTCAGAAAGCAGTGACTTGCCAGTGTTGATGCAGCTTTAAATAAAGGTTCCAGAATGAAGAAATCTGCATCCCAGATTCTGTCTATTAAATTATACTGTTTGGCTGTCAGAAATATGTCTGCTTCTGCAACTTTCTGTCCTGCTAAAGGGTTAGCCATCTTACATAGTTGAAATTGGGCTGTAGTTGGGCCTTAATAGTTCATACCTGTATTCTTAGCTACTCAGTAGGCTGAGATCTGAGGATCTCTGTTTGAAGTCAGCCCAGGTAGAAAAGTCCTGGAGACTTTTAACTGTAATTAAGCAGCAAAAAGCCAGATATGTAGCTGGGGTGCAAGTGGTCATGTGCCAGCCTTGAGCAATAAAAGCTAAGGGACAGTGCCCATGCCTGGACCTGAGTTCAACACACACATACATGGCAGAATTTCAGAATGATTGATCCTCAAAATATCTTTGAGGGCTGGGAAGGTGGCTCAGTGGTAGAGCTCTTGCCTTGCATGCTCGAGGCCCTGGGTTCGATTCCTCAGCACAACATAAGCAAAAAGAAAAAAGCCGGAAGTGGCGCTGTGGCTCAAGTGGTAGTGCGCTAGCCTTGAGCTGAAGAGCTGAGGGACAGCGCCCAGGCCCCGAGTTCAGGCCCCATGACCGGATCCCAAAAAAACAAAACAAAAAAAAATATCTTTGAAAGCCAGGAGTCAGTGGCTCATGCCTGTAATCCCAGCTACTCAGGAGTCTAAGATCTGAGCAAGCCCAGGCAGAAAACTCCGTGAGACTTTTATCTCCACATAACCACCAGAAAACAGGAAGTGGTGCTGTGGCTCAAGTGGTAGAGTGCTAGCCTTGAGCTGAAGAGCTCAGGGACAGTGCCCAGGCCCAGAGTTCAGGCCCCATGACACACACACACACACACACACACACACACACACACACACTTTGACATTTCAGAAAGAAATCTGACCCTGTAATAACTTTGTTCACATGGATATTAGCCCAGTGAACTTGTGTTTTAAATAGTTCAGAATCCAGATTGCTTTCTCCACTGGGCCACTCAGTACTGTTTTTTTGTCTCTAAGCCAAATGGGGAAGTTTTGCTGATTTTGAAGTTTTGCTAACTTTCTTTCTTTCCTTTTATTTCTTTTTTTTAATATGTAAAAGAAGAGAGAATGATTATGAGCTCTTGGGTGAGTTAGCATAGGCTCAATAAAGGCTCCATTTCTCTATTGTAAACTTGGCTCTGAATTGGGCCTTGTGTGGAATGAAAGATTGTCTCATCACTAAATGCAGTGATGTGTTTCTGACAGGTTAGGCTTTTCTATTGAGTTGCTGTGATTTTTCTCAGGCTGTTAAGTGCACTGTTTTCTCTCTCCTCCATGCAGCATGCCTCTTCAGATGTGGAAAGGATGATCCTGGGTAATAAATGTGATATGAATGACAAAAGACAAGTGTCCAAAGAAAGAGGGGAAAAGGTAACTTGCCGAGTAGATGAAGGTTGCAATCAGCTCACATTAAGCAATCATTTTTGCTACTATTGTTTCTTGATTTAAGTTTTTTTAAACTAGCCATGTTTCTAATCCTGTACAGTCGGGTGTCAGCAACCCAGAGGTCAGCCATGCTTGAATTGGGGGTGTATGTGTGATTAGTATTCAGGAGCCAGCCCCAGATACTCTGTGAGCATGACTCACTGCTAAGGAATTTGCTAAGAATGTTTTTGGGGAGACACAAATTGGCCCTTTTTAAGGTTTCTTTGGCCTAAGAGTTCATTCAGGCTGATTCTTGTAGAGCTGTATGAAAAGCTCAGGTTTGAAAGTAAAATGATTAATCCTTTGAAAAAAGGTAATAAGTAAAAGTGAAGTTTCAAATAATCATTTTCCAATTAATTTTTTCCCTAGGAATATTTTACTACAGGTGATTGGGATAAACGCTTACAATTGATCATTTATAGACTTATCTCAAACCATGTCCCATGAAGCAAATCTATTTATATATATATATGTGTATATATATATGTATGTATGTATGTGTATATATATATATATATATATATACTTCTGTGGCATTTTCCAAATTGACTTAGAGGCTTCATTTTTTTAAGCAAAATTTTCTTGGAATTTTACTTTGGTGTTCCCCTTCCCCCCAGTGGTACATGCAAAATGTATTTTTTGTTCTAATTATAATCTTTGACTTAAAAACATTCACTTAATCTCAGGAACTTTTAGCACAGATGGAAAGATGGAAGACTTCAAATTTGTCTCTACCAATAGAAATGAAAGCAGTGGGAGCTTCAGTGTTTTTGCTTTATTATGGACCAATTCACTCAGAAATAATTAACTGTCAGCATAAGAGCTGTTGGAGAATTGTACATTGGGAGCAGATAAAAAGGATGAATGAATCTCAAGTTAATGGAGGAATGGGCATCTATCTCTTGATTTTTCTTATATGTTTATTAGGGCAAAAGGAAGTACTAAAGTATTAACAAGTATGTAAAGGGGAAGCCATTTTTAGATTAAACTATTGAATTTCAAATGTGGTAGAAGAAAGCAATTGGAGTACCTCAGGAGTCCTGATCTAGACACTACTATGGGAGGCTCTGAAATGCTTTAAAAACACAAGTGCTTTGTTTGTGCAAACCAAGGCTGGCTAAATTTAATGTTTCTGTTTGCCTTTCAGTTAGCAATTGACTATGGGATTAAATTCTTGGAGACAAGTGCAAAATCCAGTACAAATGTAGAAGAGGTAAGAAGAGGGAATGTGTGGAAGTGACTTGGTAGGCAGGGACACCACTGCATAGGGGGCTTCCTAGTACTCCGACCTAGTGAAAATCTGTTGTGGAACCAGAGAGATGGATGTTTCACGTATACTTGTGTCTTGGCCTTTCCCATGGACTCTGGCCTCCCCAAGGTTCAGTTCAGATGCATCAAGCAAGACATAGAAGCTGAGTTTCCAATCAGTGCACCCTTTGGGAAGCTGGAAATCAGACTAGCTGGACTAGTAGTGGTCCTTGGATCATTTGTCATCATTCCTGTCATCCTCTAGCACCCTGTATACTCTCAAGAGAGAATTGAGCTGTTAGCTTATGGAGCAGGTTGCCTTTGTGTATTATGAGCGATACATTGTAACACTATGGCATTTAGTAGTGTTTATCAGAAAAAGAAAACTGGATCCTCTAAAAATCTTCAAGAACAGTTTCATCTTTCACCAAGGGCAGAATTGTTGGTGATGCTTTTTAATTTTTTTTTAAACCTAAACCTGGTGTTAGTGGCTCACATCTGTAATCCTAGATATTCAGGATCATAGTTAAAAGCCAGTCCAGGCAGAACAGTCTCTGAGACTCTTTATCTTCAACTAACCAGCAAAAGCCAGAAGTGGAACTTGAGTAAAAAAGCCAAGTGAGAGCACAGTGGCACTGAGTTCAATCCCTAGTACTGACCCCCCTCCTCCGCTCCCCCCACCCACAAAAATGCTTAACCTCATCCTACAAATAATACATATATGCTAAAACATAACTCATTCAAGAAAGGCTTACAGCTGATTTCTTAGGTTACTTACTGTCCATCTAATATGAGGCTAAAATCACCTTATTGGCCAGTGGGAAATGATTAGAATTGATGTTGTTTTTGTTTGTTTTAAATAACATTCATTTTTCAGGTTGTCTAAGGGCTGTTGGGAAACAGGAAGTGGTCCTTGATTTATTTATACAAGCATATATAAACAGGAACATGCTTCCTTTTGTACAAAAGAGGAATGAGAGGAGCCTCTTGTCGGCTTGGGTGGTGGGACAGAGTCACTTCTGCACAGGCAGCTCTGTCCCCTGGCTCAGTTTCCACAGCACAGCTGTGGCATCGGGCTGTGGCGTTCCTTGAGCTGAGTACTCAGGTCAGGTGACCGGTAGAATCTAGTAGTTTCTGCGGAGCTTTACATTGGTGAGGTTAGCTTAAACTAGGATGGGATTACTTGGAAACCTATAACTCATCAGAGATTGGTGAGACAGCAATAGTTGTCCTATGGTTTTATTTCAAGGACCGCACAGCTGTGGGGCTCAGGAGTGGTCTAGAACAGCGGGTGTTGAGCTCTCAGCTCACTACAAACAGAGTGAAAGTTTCAATGATAGGTTTAAAAAATACTGTTCTAGGTCAAGAGATATTTATGGATAAATTGTCACCAATGTTACTAGGAGCCCTTAGTCCATTTGAACTGATTTCCATGGGAAGGAATTTAACCAAACTCAGGAACTGGGGATTTTGGAGTATTAACATGTGTAAGATTGTACATGCTTAGGTCTGACCTCTGAAGAGGTAAGAAATAAAAGACTGAGATTTTTGTAGTGCTAGATTTTATGCTGTTATTCATTCACTTATTAAACAGATATTTTAGCATCTTCTGTCAGGTACTATGCCCTCCTCTGAGGAAGAAGGGTTGGCTTAGAGAGGCTCTGCCCTGTTCTTAAAACTCAACATATCATACTGGTGGTAGGTGCTTCATTACAGTATTTGGTGGAGGAATTTGGGCACCTGTGGCTCATGCCTGTAGTCCTCACTAAATAAGAAACCTAGGCAGAAGATTTCAAGAGTCTTATCTCAACTGAAGAATCTGGCATGTGCCTGTAATGCTAGCTATGACAGCATATGCTAGCTATGAAGCATAAAATAGATGGACAATGTCCAGGCAGGGGGCCTAGGTAAAAGGACTGGAGGTATGGTTCATTGATAGAGCAGGTGCCTGTCAGTTACAAGGCCCTGAGTTCAATCACCAAAAGATGTGTGAATGACACTCTGATAGCATTAGAAAATGTTAGTAAATGAAAAAAATAGGCCACATTTAATGTGTATACTACAATTACAATTATGTTCTTTTTTTTCAGTTAACTCTAAAGTAGACACACCTGTAATCCTAGCTATTCAGGAGGCTGAGATCTGAGGATCTCGATTCAAAGCCAGTCTGGGCAAAAAAGTCTATGAGTCTTTTATCTCCAATTAACCACCAGAAAATTGGATGGTGGTACTGTGGCTTTACATGCGGTAGAGCACTTAGTGTAGAGCAAAAGCTCATGGATAGCATCCAGGCCCTAGGGCCCCACCCCCAAAAAAATCTCTGAAGTAAGATAATTATGGTTAAATAATGCAAAGTACCATATTTCTGTTTTGAAATATACCATAAATATGTAATAATTCATTTTCTGTTTTATCTTAGGCATTTTTTACACTTGCACGAGATATAATGACAAAACTCAACAGAAAAATGGTTTGTATCACTTACAACATTTATTTCCATTATATAGTTTTTTCTAATAAGGATAGGCATGATTATAATATTAAGCTTCTCAACTGGGTGTCAGTGGCTCATGCCTGTAATACTAGCAACTCAAGAGGCTAAGATCCGAGGATTGTGGTTCTAGGCCAGCCTGGGCAGAAAAATCCATGGCATTTCCCCCCCAATTAACCACTAAAAACTAGACGTGGAGCTATGGTTTAAGTGGTAGAGTACTAGCTTTGAGCAAAAAAGCTAAAGAACAGTACACAGACCCTAATTTCAAGCCTCAGGACTGGTAAGGGAAATAAATGAGACTCTAAAATATTAACTAAAGCATGGCTCAAGTGGTAGAGTGCCTACTGAGCAAGTCTGAGGCCTTTCTTTCTCCTACACAATTCATATAGCATATGGTTTTTACTTTTTTCAACAATGGGGGTAAAACCATGAGTTTCCCTTCCTTCCTTGATAACTCTTGTCTTGTTTTCTAGAATGACAGCAACTCATCAGGGGCAGGCGGGCCAGTGAAAATCACAGAAAACCGGTCCAAGAAGACCAGTTTGTTCCGCTGTTCGCTGCTCTGATGAACTCTTCCTTTCTGAGAGACTGCAGCGCACCGAAGGGCCCTTTCCTGCTTTTCTGAAAGCACAGGTCACCCAGCCGCAGAGCCACCCCGCCCGGCTGTTTCTGAGAGCATCACGGAACTTCCCTCTCCGGACAGATCGCCACGTGGACTCAAGCCTTGCTTGCAAGCAAAAGGCCAGGCTCCTCTTTCCAAGGCCGGAAGCAATGATGTGGAGACATCCCAGGACCTAACTGGTTTCCCTTTGTTTTATTGCCTATTGCAGACGCTGCTTACCTGCCTTTTTTTTTGTTGTTGTTATTTTTAACTCTGCACCTCAGTGTTAGCCTTTCCCCATTATGGTACAATCTCACACTCATCCTGGCATACTTCTGTGTGTCAAACTTCAACACAAATTTGTATGGGGATACTCAAAAGACAACAGAATAATAGGCAGAGGTGGGTATACTAAAATGAGTTTGGATCACAGGGCCAAATGTTACTGCACTGGTATCATTTATTGAAGGGCTTTGATTTGTGAATTTAAGAATCACTAAATTCTTATAAATTTTATTTTAAAAATCCATAACAATGTCCATCTGGCCATAGCATCTTTGTTGCTTTGAGTTGGGAACAGCTTTTCTTTACTGCTGATCTTTTGGCCAGCATCTAAATAGCTGAATGAATCACTTTCTGATTGATTATCTCTGCCTAATCTACGCAGTTGCATTTGGAAGTCACTCATATCTCACTTTCCCTGAGGTTTATATTTCCTATTATTTCCCTTATTTGAGTTTCCATAATTACTTAATTCTCTAAAGCAAATTACATATTCAAACGTGGTTGTCTGTTTCTGTTTGTGAACTTCTAGAGATAAAATTTTACCTAGGGGGAGGAGAAGTACATCATTTAGGGTTTTACATCAGCTTCTAAATGTGGTTCTAAATGTGGTTCAAAAATATAATTTATTTTTCCTTAGTATCACCCTTTAGTTTGTAACACCGACGTCTACCACTATCCCTTGTCTGTGAGTGTTAAGCAAACTTAGGTTTAGATTGCAGGAAGAATGCCTGCCTGCAAGGGAGATGAACTTGTTGATATATGTTTAAGAATAGCTCTTAGTAATAGTGAAAATAATGATTTTTTGGGGAGGGGGTTCTGTTATGGTGTTTTTACAACGATAAGATTAGCCCTAGCATATCATATCCCTAGGGAACCTTTGCCTTTTCATTAGCAAAAAAAAAAAAACAAAAAAACCGATCAAGATGTCAGCAGCTGTGGTTGGATGTGTAGACTCCCATCTGCTGGGTTCATTGTGACAAGGACTTGGTTCAGTCGTTCAGAGCCAAAGCTAGCGAAAAGCTTAGTTGTGAAACACTGTACTACTACTCCTTCTGTAAATAAAACCATCACACGAGAGAAGAGTATTTAGTGTTAACTCACGTGCCAAATTCTGCTTCTAATGGCCCCCTAGCCTTTGGTGTCACAATGCAGGCTGATGACTAAGGAAATTAATTCTGTTAGTCATCTGTCTCCTTGATAGTCGCCATGGAGGCTCCTAGCCTAGCGATGGAAGTAGAAATGGACTGACTACTCTCACAGAGAATTCTGCTTCACATTAAGACATTGTGTTTCAGTGCTTGGACCAGTCAGCCTTTGATCCTTATCTGAAGACTCAGTTCAGGGGCTGCACTATTTTTGGTAGGTATGCTGAACTTACTTTGGACATAATTCAGTCTCCTTGTTTTTTTTTTTTTTTTTTTAATGCTTACCTGTGGGCTTAAAGCTTACCTGTTGCTGTTCCAATATTAATTGTAGATGTGTTATTGAAAGCTGGTTGTCAGTTGACCATCTTCAAGTTAGATACATTTTTGAAAAAGACAAAGTAATTTCTTTGAAAAAAGAAAAAAAAAGGCTTGTATTCATTAATTTACTAGAGAAAAAAAAACCAAGCAGTTAGGCTTTCTGGATGATAATGAAATACTTGGCAAAAGGTGTGTGTGTTAAGACACCATTATGAATGTAACTCTTAGTATTTTTACCTCTGACTATTTTGGTGTCTTAACACTTTGGTTTCTATCTCAGGGCTTGTCTGCAAACCAAAACTGACATATTCTGTGGTTCACTTTTTCTTTCTCAGCAGAATGCTTTGCTTTTGTTTCATTTCTTTGCTCTTCTTTTGTCTTATGGCTTACTAACTAGTCTCCGTGAACTTCCCTTTGAAAGAGCCTGTGAAAAGTTAGATGAGTCTAAAACATGCTCTTTGAAGTAGCAGCAAACTGGGAGTGTATGCTCTGTTGTACAGAAATAAATTGTCTTTGCTATTTTCTTACATTTAGCTTTGCTAAATTGTACATAATTTGAGCTAAGAACATAGGAAATTTACTTTCTGCATGGTGAAATGACCCAATAAATATTCCACTTTGCGTAATAATGTACATAGAGTGCATTTTTTTTCTACTCGTAGATGAACTTTGTAACAGATCATTTTGTCTGTTCCCTGCTGAAACAGAAAAAAAAAACTGGGAAGCTTTTTTTGTAGACATTTTGTGGTTTCATGGGTAAAAGTACATAGATCAGCAGGATTAGTGACTCAGTTGCTGTACTTCATTATCAATGTGCTCATGTTGACACTGATTGAACTAAACTAGACCTTTTCAAATAGTCTGGGGATGTCAGACATCCCAGACATGCTGTAACTAAAGTAGTGTGTAAATCAACTGATTGTACATTGTTTTGCTGGGAACTGATTTTAGATGTATTTTACTTCCGACAGACTATGATTAAGTAATCCACCTGTGCATCCATTAAGAGGTGCCACAGGATTCTTACTGTTTCCAAGAACATTTTATGTAGTCTTTGTTATAAATTTTCAGAGGACCATACTCTCTACTTTGAAGGACTATTTTTTAAATTATACCTCATTTAGCTAACTAGTATTCTAAGACCTGGTAGAAAAACAGTGAGCCAGCCTGTAAGTATCCAGTGAACTTTAGACTCTATGTGTTGTTTTTTTCTTCACTTGAACTCAAGGCACCCTTGGGAAAGGTAGGTGAAATCTTAGTTTAGAATAAACTATACATGTCATATTCTATAACATAAATATGTGCATTATTACCCATCTCCATTAACAAATTTAGGTGTGCAATAGATACATTTTTGAAAAACTTTCTAAATAAGAGATTATGACTGCATTTTGTAGGTACTAAAGCTTATAAAACTTTTCTTGTAATCAGTGAGGGATACATTTAAACAGATCTGTTTTTAAATTTGTGATTTAAATCCCTTTGTAAATTTAGTTCTTTGTTTTTAAAGATGAACTTCCAAACTTAAAAACTTTAAAACTACATCTCATTACATTGGTTTACTTATCTCAAATTTCAAGCACTCCTTTGTGCAATCAACTTGTTTAAAAACTTTAAAAAACAAGATAACAATAGAAAAAAAACAGAAAAGACATTCTTTTTTTTTTTTCCTTGTTACATCTGGGGACAAAGAAATATTCAAGAATGAAATTCCTTCATGGAGAGGGACCCTAGAAGGACAGAATATGCTACTAAAATGTCAAATTCTAGAAAAATTAGAAGCAGTCCTTTCTTTAGGATGTCATGTTCACTATATATATATAAAAAAACTCAACTGAAAAGTACAGAAATGGAAAATTTGTACTTAGGGATATTTTCAGATTTTCATTTCTTGAAATGTGTGCCATAGGTAACAAATCTTGTTGCCAAGAACTAATAGGACTTCCTATGTCATTGCTTAGCTTTAAAATATATATATAAGTTGAATTAACTATCACTTGTTCATAGGGCCTTAGGGATGAATTTTGTTTGAAACTGATACTTCAGTTCCTTTAATGCAAAATACCATAAACTATTTGACTAAACCCATTCCCTTTACAGGAATTATCTACTTTTTCCATACTGTGTGTGTTTAAACTTTTCTTTTTTCTTTTTTTCTCCATTGGCTTACTGTGTAACACTCTTGTAGACCTGTCAAAGTTAACCTTATTTAAGCCAATCCATTAACTGTGTACTGATAACTGATGCTGTGTTTTATTTTTTAAAAACAGATTTTATTCCAGGTGAACTTTTTTATATATAATAATGTTCATCTAAAATAAAAACTACATAATGAAAATGTTTATGGCTTCTCATAAGTGTATTGAACATTTAAAACTGTCTCTGCAAATCTGGAGAGGAAACAGATCAAACCGTAGTAGAGTTGGTGATACATTAGCCAATTCTATATCTCACTGGTAGGTGTTTAAGGACTTGGGAAAAATAGCCACGTCCCTCACTTGGATGTAGTTTACAATGCACTGAAAGCTGAGCATTAGTGGCCCACACCTATAATTCTAGCTGATTGTAGGCTAGAGATTTGAGGCTGAGATCTGAAGATCTTGGTTCAAAGCCAGCACTCTTTATCTCCACAATTAATGAGCAAAAGACTCAAGGGAAGCAGTGGCTCAATAGGAAGCTCCAGCCTAGAGTGAAAAAACAAAAGGTCAGAGCCCCATGCCCAGAATGGCCTCAAAGTCACAAAGTCACAATCCTCCTGCCTCAGCCACTTCAGTAATGGGATTACAGGCATTCACTACCATAACTAGCTTTTCCTTGCTTGCTTCTGATGTCCTTGAGAGAGCTTTAACCAAGGTCCAAGTTGAAACGGCTATGACAAGTCATTAAAATAGTGAGCTGCGTGCCAGTGGCTCACACCTGTAATCCTAGCTACTCAGGAGGCTGAGATCTGAGGATTGTGGTTCGAAGCCAGCCCGGACAGGAAACTGTATGACTCTTATCTCCAGTAAACTAAAAACAAAAACCCAGAAGTGGCACTGTGGCTAAAGTGATAGAACTCTCTCCTTGAGCAAAAGAGCTAAGGAACAACCCAGGCCCTGAGTTCAAGCCCCAAAACTGGCCAAAAAAAAAAAAAAGATAATGGAAGAAGCCCTATTTTTTTTTCTTTTTTTTTCTTTTTTATTGTAAAGATACTATACAGAGGGTTACAGTTTCATGAGTGAGGTAATGAGTACACTTCCTCTTGAACATTGTTAGCCCCTCCATTGTTTTCCCCCTACCATCCCCTCCCTCCCTCCCTTCCCCGGA